TGCTTTTTCCTCTGATAACTTTGAAGGGTTGTTAAACTCATCCAGCAAATTCAGTGGAATCTTAACCCGAAAAACATAGTATTCTATATTTGCTATTCTAGACTAGCTAAACCTTGTTACCATCCTCTAGTGACATCTTGCTAGGGGTATTTGGATAATATTTTGCTTATAATGTGTTGCTGGCATCTTAGAACCCCTTTACAACTATAGGCTACTCTGTGGTCCATTATAGACTCCATCTAAGTCACTTTTGGGCAAATATAATTTTCTGCACAATCCCAACTTCCCATTTTTAAGCCCCTTCTTATAATGATTTTTTCCCTAAAAACCCGAAAACCTGAGACCCAATTCTAGTAACTCTTCGGAAAATGCAAAGCCATTATTCACAATTATAGTCAACCCAGTCGTGGAAATGCGACCCCATCCAGGGGCACATACCCATTGGCCTATTACTAGTAAGAAGTGCCCCCCTTCCACCCCCTAAGGAAGCTACATCCTCTCACGAACGGGGTGGAGAGGCGGAGGGGGGGGGGTGGGTGAAACAAAAACGTATACCTGGAAAGGAACTCCAACTCTAAGAGGTGTCTCCAACATTCCAACAGTGAATTTGTTTGGACTAGCCTCTAAATAAACAGAAATGACAAAGGAGAAACAAGATAACAAAAGATGTACGAGTTCTTTTAACAGGGTGGATCAAAAATACAATGTTCCCATTCAAAACGAATCTGGAACCAAATTGTTCGCAATCGTCACGAATCCAGAAAAATCACATCTAGCGTAAGCGCAACCTAAAACTGTCCCAGGCTGGTCATTTTTTACAAACCTGTAACGGTAAACTTGATACGATGGACTGGAAGACTCTTAATTGATGGTGCAGTTGAACTGTCACTCAGTAACACTTGAAGCTGAAGAGTGTGTGGGCCAAGGAGGGTAATATTTTCTGAAATGACAGCAAGAACAGGTAAATTCAAACACTGTTTTCAACTGGCCCAAGTTGTTCAAACACTGGATAGCCCTATCCACTGCATTAAAACAATAAATCTCATAGCACAGATAGCAGCAGACTAACTCAGTTACCCATTTTTCTGAACCAGTATGGCCAGCTCTTTCCTCCATGTTGACAGACATGATTAGTGATTACTTTATCTCCATCTTTGTCACTTCCTGCAAAAAATACGTAAATAAATAACAATAACGATCCTTTTTGAATGATAACAATGGAGAGTTTTAGATTCTAAGACGAGGACGGCTAAGAGAATGAGATTTTCTCAATACTAAGTAGTGCGCGCGCGCGAACCAACATCATTTTGGCGGGGAAAAAGTGGTAGCAATCGTCATTCTATTACGAGTTTTAGCGAGAATGTCGTAGTAACGAAAACAGGTTATCAAATGTTAGGAATTTTATCATTAGCGATCGGGGGAGGACTCTAACTTCTTCAACGGAAGAGTAACATTAGAAACAATGGCCATAACAAACAAGTAAAAGTAACAAGTACAAACACAAATTTCTTAACTCTTGAGAGAGGTATTTTGTGCGAATGGAGACCTAACTTTTTGTCAACACTTGATTAAAACAGAGGAAAGCTTATTGCTACGAGCATCCAGCAATGCATACTACGAGCCCGTCACAAATCATGTGCTTCTCCTTACAATGTAAAGCATTTATCTCTTACCATGCCAAATGACCTTTAACTCTACCAACAATCTTCTTCTGTCACCAGGCAGTTTGTTCACAGATTCACCCTTTCCGTTTAAAATGTCCACTTTCATGGCACCTGATTAAGAAATGGCAAATACATCGTTTTTAAACGATGTTTAAAGTTGCCACTAAGTTTCTCAGATGGCAGTGAAGCCACCATGGCTCACAGTAGGCTATATTTCTTAACAAGTGTTACAGTGAAACATGTATTAACCCGTTCACACCTACGTGTACCACCCAAGTGAAATAATAATGAAGTTTTGTACAGCAGTTCTAACTTCTGGGACTGTTGAAGGAATCCACCGAAGTGGTTCGACGTTTGGCCTAGGCCTAACTAACACAGAGAGAAACTTAAAGAAGAGGACGACTAATATTATGCAAACCAATTGACATACGGAGAAACATAAAGAAAGGGACACGCCACAACATCGTCCAAAGGAGGTAGTATATATAGAAACATTTAAAAGACAAGACGAACGGCAGTTTTGCAATCAACTTTGCGAAAAAGAAAAAACAAACAAACAACCCAAACCAAACAACAACAACAACAGTAGGTATTACTTTGGGAAGAGGGCAAAACTGCTTCAGTTCTGCTCATCAAAACAATGCAGTGATACATTCAAGAAAGGTAAGACATTGTATCCTGTTTCATTGATCCACCTCCCCTCCCCACCCCACAAAACCCCACCCCTCATTTTTTCCGACCGAATTTTTTCCCTACTTTTTTTTCCAAATATTGGTCGCCAAAAAGCAACTTTCTGAAAAAAAAAGGATGAGACCACATAAATAAGCATATAATATACTGCCAAGAATAAATTAATCACTCATTGCTGTAGCCTGCATTGTAGCCGGACCTGCTAGTCGACAGCTAGACTTCAAAACGTAGTGTATATCGGGGATTTCGACGCAGGCTATCGTTGGGGAAGTTAGGGGTTCTAATTACTTTAGGACTGAGAAAAATTAATGATTTAAGACATTTCAAACCTGACTTACGTATGTCAATTTTCAATCGCCTTTTCCTAATTTGAATTTAACTCAGAGTGAGTTCGGAACAGCACATCGTTTATTTTTTTCTATCGGCTTCAATTTTCAAATTGAAATTGCATAGCAACCAAGAAAATTGTCTAATACAACAGTTTGTCGAGAAGTACACACCTATGGTGGTTCCTGCTGGGATTTTCGAGTTAGGATCCAGCTTGTCATCCTGAGGCCATTCTATAACCAGTTTACTTGGCAACCTGAAAGGACAGTTTTATACAGTCTCAAAGTGTAGAGTGGGGCAATTGATCTAACAAGGACAACATAACATAGGCAGTGAATTCATTCTTCTCACCCTTAGCTGGAGCTTAAACGCATCAAAAGAGAAGAGTCGCTGTTAATCTGAGAACTCTCCTGACCTCTCCTTACTGAAGCGTGTTGGACGATCCAAACTCATTTAGACGAAAGTAACTGAGCCAGACGTCGAATTTTTCATGAAGATCACTCACTAAGTTTGGTAAGTTTCATGAAAATTTAAACGTTTGGCCTAGGCCTGCGATTGATAGAAACAACAAGTAACAAAAGGTGTGTTCTGCTTCACCATGGCAGTCAATTTACCAGTTGTTACTATAGTATAAGTCTTCACTTTGTGAAGAAAGGCTAACTCCCACTAACCTTAAGGTCATGTTTCACATAGACTTGCTACACTTCGACCTCTAAGCAAGCGGAGCGATCCTTTTTTGGGCGCAAAGCGGCCGACCGCGAGCGACGAAGTCGCGAGAGGTCCCGCGCCATATAAAATCCGACGAAGGATTTTTTTGAAAGTCTAGTTCCACATAGACTTGCTACAAGTCGACCTCGCACACAGCAATTATAAGTCTCGTTTAGCCGGTCAAACCGGATGTTTCCCTTGGCGCGTTCAGTCAATAATAAAAGGTTTTCTATTTCGGAAAGGTAATAGCCAATCAGAAAATACCTACCGTAATATTCGCAAAAGTAGGTGACGTCACCGGACGGCATTATAACGCTCGGAATTCAGACTTCTCTATTCCCCGCGCCCCCCACGGGTTAGGGGTGGAGACGTATAACATTTCAGACTACTAGTCAATTTACAGCACCAAAACCATGAAAACCATTGATAAATTGCTAGAAAGATCAGTATGGTAAAATTATTGTTTTAAAGGTAACTGTTATAAGAATTAAACCATTCGTTAGAGCTGCAACCCCGGACAAAACCTGTTAAGACAAGTCGCGAAAATAACTATTTTTATCCTGTCATCCTGGCAAAAACTGAAACCTCCGCCAAATGAATGACCGATCTTCCCCCTCCCCTTATCCAAAGCTGTTTAGGATAGCACGGCAATTATACACGTTGGTTTTTAGACCAAGACAACTTTGAATACGGGGTGGGGAGGGGGCTTACTTTTTCTGTTTTGAGGAGACGGGAGTAGGGCGCAAAAGTTAGAAAATAGATGGAATTGTCTCAACAGTTTTGTCCGGGGTTGTAGTTATCAGCTTACTTTGCTTCTTCTTCCTCCACGAACTTTTTAATTGTAGAAAGGCTAAGTGAGCGATCCAGCTTGGCCAGGGAGAAGAATTTTGTGTCTCCATACAAAGAGACTGGCTCCTAGCATGGAAATTTCAACAAGAAACAAGTTTAAACATGTAACTGTTGCTGTTATTGGAATTTTAATTGTTAACGGTCAAGAACACCTTTGTGAGCTAACTTGTGCTGGGTGAAGAGATCTTTGAAACCATACCAGATAAGCACGATTCAGTAAAGGAGGCCGGGAAAAAAAATTATCGACCATTGAAATGACATCAGAAGTTCAAAACTTGCAGCTCGCCTGCGGCTCGCGGTTCCACTTGAGTTTTGAACATTTTGACATCATTTCTGTGATCGATAAGAGAATAGACCGTGGAAAATTGTTGTCCAGTTGTTATTCTCCATACAAAGGACACTGCATGTGAAGATCTGTGAAGTTTCTGATCAAATTTTGGTTCTAAAACTATAGCAAGATTATATTTAGCTTGCCTACAATAAAATAATAGTACAGTATTGCACAGTATGTTGGAAACAAGGTATGAGGTTCTTTGTGTATTCTCCAAAGCTTAGAGCTATCAGGGATTTTAAAATATGTAGTTGCAGTGAACGTCTAACAATCGTCAATTTGCTTGAACAGAGTATACTCCACGTCTCATGACTCCTTAACAAAGTTGTAGAACCAGCATTTTAAAATTGAAGTTTTAATGTTAGGAATAAGGAGCAATTACTCCACAGTTAGTTAAATCACAACGGGGTGAACATTGGCATAATTACCTTGCAGACAACATTAAGCCTTGGTTGAACTGTTAGGTTTCCCGCTTTGTCCTGGACCTGCACTTGTAGCTGCAGGGCACTGTTGTTTTCAATTGTGACCTCACTGTCATTTGGTGTGACCGCAAGGGATTCTGGTGGGCCTGCAGCACAAAACGTGTTTCAGTAAACAAAAACAGTCATGCTAACGTGAGTCAAAAGTTGGAGTGAGAAGGGGGCGTGCACGTCACGGTAAAACCCTGCGGCCACGTTGCCTTGTGAGCTGCGTTCTACTGGGATGAGCCGGATCAGGATCAGTGCACATTAAAGGAACCGATAAATCATCCCTGGAAAAAGATTCTTTGGTTCATTTGATGTAGCATGACCCGAGTGATCCCAGATTACTGATCCTGATCCCGATCAAGCCAGAGGAACGCATCCTTTTTAGACAGCGTCTCTCTCTTTTTTTTAAAGGAAAATTTACATGCTGGTAAAAATTGTAAATTGTAATTTGTATTACCCAAGGAGCACTTAAGAGTTCTTAAGAACTCGATGAAACGTGTCCGTGGGTTCTAGATCGAATTAGAATTTGAAAGTGTTGATTTTTAAGGAGAGGTAAAAACCGGGTACCCGGCGGAAAAACCTCTCGGAGCAAGGGAGAGAAGCAACAACAAACTCAACCCACATATCGCGTCAAAAGAGTACCTGGAAGTAACCTGATCTTCAAGCTCTGCGAACCTTCTTCAAGTCCTGGTAGGGTGATCTTTAGATTAAAATCCTTTAACAACAAACAAAAAAAAACAAACAAAAAAACTGTTCAGATAAGTTTGAGATTTTGAATCATGAAGGCTACTGATGATATCGTCGCACTCTATTTTATTACGAGAAATTGAATCAAATCGGCCAAGATGTTTTCCAAAAAACCCCTCACCTTTCCTGCATGGGATGGTACAGAACCAAGGGCCACCAGACCCTTAACGATCAGGCTGTTTCCCTTCACTGACGTTCCCTGGTGAGTCAACTCCAGTCCGCTAACAATATAAACAATATATGTTATTCCGTTGAAGGCAGGATTGACTTTAACACCAAGGTTACTAATCCATGTTTCATTAAAAAATTATCAAAATACACTCACCTTGCACTTAACACGGGTGCTTTTTCCTCTGATAACTTTGAAGGGTTGTTAAACTCATCCAGCAAATTCAGTGGAATCTTAACCCGAAAAACATAGTATTCTATATTTGCTATTCTAGACTAGCTAAACCTTGTTACCATCCTCTAGTGACATCTTGCTAGGGGTATTTGGATAATATTTTGCTTATAATGTGTTGCTGGCATCTTAGAACCCCTTTACAACTATAGGCTACTCTGTGGTCCATTATAGACTCCATCTAAGTCACTTTTGGGCAAATATAATTTTCTGCACAATCCCAACTTCCCATTTTTAAGCCCCTTCTTATAATGATTTTTTCCCTAAAAACCCGAAAACCTGAGACCCAATTCTAGTAACTCTTCGGAAAATGCAAAGCCATTATTCACAATTATAGTCAACCCAGTCGTGGAAATGCGACCCCATCCAGGGGCACATACCCATTGGCCTATTACTAGTAAGAACCCCCCCCCCCCCACCCCCTAAGGGAGCTACATCCTCTCACGAACGGGGTGGAGAAGGGGGTGAAACAAAAACGTATACCTGGAAAGGAACTCCAACTCTAAGAGGTGTCTCCAACATTCCAACAGTGAATTTGTTTGGATGAGCCTCTAAATAAACAGAAATGACAAAGGAGAAACAAGATAACAAAAGATGTACGAGTTATTTTAACAGGGTGGATCAAAAATACAATGTTCCCATTCAAAACGAATCTGGAACCAAATTGTTCGCAATCGTCACGAATCCAGAAAAATCACATCTAGCGTAAGCGCAACCTAAAACTGTCCCAGGCTGGTCATTTTTTACAAACCTGTAACGGTAAACTTGATACGATGGACTGGAAGACTCTTAATTGATGGTGCAGTTGAACTGTCACTCAGTAACACTTGAAGCTGAAGAGTGTGTGGGCCAAGGAGGGTAATATTTTCTGAAATGACAGCAAGAACAGGTAAATTCAAACACTGTTTTCAACAGGCCCAAGTTGTTCAAACACTGGATAGCCCTATCCACTGCATTAAAACAATAAATCTCATAGCACAGATAGCAGCAGACTAACTCAGTTACCCATTTTTCTGAACCAGTATGGCCAGCTCTTTCCTCCATGTTGACAGACATGATTAGTGATTACTTTATCTCCATCTTTGTCACTTCCTGCAAAAAATACGTAAATAAATAACAATAACGATCCTTTTTGAATGATAACAATGGAGAGTTTTAGATTCTAAGACGAGGACGGCTAAGAGAATGAGATTTTCTCAATACTAAGTAGTGCGCGCGCGCGAACCAACATCATTTTGGCGGGGAAAAAGTGGTAGCAATCGTCATTCTATTACGAGTTTTAGCGAGAATGTCGTAGTAACGAAAACAGGTTATCAAATGTTAGGAATTTTATCATTAGCGATCGGGGGAGGACTCTAACTTCTTCAACGGAAGAGTAACATTAGAAACAATGGCCATAACAAACAAGTAAAAGTAACAAGTACAAACACAAATTTCTTAACTCTTGAGAGAGGTATTTTGTGCGAATGGAGACCTAACTTTTTGTCAACACTTGATTAAAACAGAGGAAAGCTTATTGCTACGAGCATCCAGCAATGCATACTACGAGCCCGTCACAAATCATGTGCTTCTCCTTACAATGTAAAGCATTTATCTCTTACCATGCCAAATGACCTTTAACTCTACCAACAATCTTCTTCTGTCACCAGGCAGTTTGTTCACAGATTCACCCTTTCCGTTTAAAATGTCCACTTTCATGGCACCTGATTAAGAAATGGCAAATACATCGTTTTTAAACGATGTTTAAAGTTGCCACTAAGTTTCTCAGATGGCAGTGAAGCCACCATGGCTCACAGTAGGCTATATTTCTTAACAAGTGTTACAGTGAAACATGTATTAACCCGTTCACACCTACGTGTACCACCCAAGTGAAATAATAATGAAGTTTTGTACAGCAGTTCTAACTTCTGGGACTGTTGAAGGAATCCACCGAAGTGGTTCGACGTTTGGCCTAGGCCTAACTAACACAGAGAGAAACTTAAAGAAGAGGACGACTAATATTATGCAAACCAATTGACATACGGAGAAACATAAAGAAAGGGACACGCCACAACATCGTCCAAAGGAGGTAGTATATATAGAAACATTTAAAAGACAAGACGAACGGCAGTTTTGCAATCAACTTTGCGAAAAAGAAAAAACAAACAAACAACCCAAACCAAACAACAACAACAACAGTAGGTATTACTTTGGGAAGAGGGCAAAACTGCTTCAGTTCTGCTCATCAAAACAATGCAGTGATACATTCAAGAAAGGTAAGACATTGTATCCTGTTTCATTGATCCACCTCCCCTCCCCACCCCACAAAACCCCACCCCTCATTTTTTCCGACCGAATTTTTTCCCTACTTTTTTTTCCAAATATTGGTCGCCAAAAAGCAACTTTCTGAAAAAAAAAGGATGAGACCACATAAATAAGCATATAATATACTGCCAAGAATAAATTAATCACTCATTGCTGTAGCCTGCATTGTAGCCGGACCTGCTAGTCGACAGCTAGACTTCAAAACGTAGTGTATATCGGGGATTTCGACGCAGGCTATCGTTGGGGAAGTTAGGGGTTCTAATTACTTTAGGACTGAGAAAAATTAATGATTTAAGACATTTCAAACCTGACTTACGTATGTCAATTTTCAATCGCCTTTTCCTAATTTGAATTTAACTCAGAGTGAGTTCGGAACAGCACATCGTTTATTTTTTTCTATCGGCTTCAATTTTCAAATTGAAATTGCATAGCAACCAAGAAAATTGTCTAATACAACAGTTTGTCGAGAAGTACACACCTATGGTGGTTCCTGCTGGGATTTTCGAGTTAGGATCCAGCTTGTCATCCTGAGGCCATTCTATAACCAGTTTACTTGGCAACCTGAAAGGACAGTTTTATACAGTCTCAAAGTGTAGAGTGGGGCAATTGATCTAACAAGGACAACATAACATAGGCAGTGAATTCATTCTTCTCACCCTTAGCTGGAGCTTAAACGCATCAAAAGAGAAGAGTCGCTGTTAATCTGAGAACTCTCCTGACCTCTCCTTACTGAAGCGTGTTGGACGATCCAAACTCATTTAGACGAAAGTAACTGAGCCAGACGTCGAATTTTTCATGAAGATCACTCACTAAGTTTGGTAAGTTTCATGAAAATTTAAACGTTTGGCCTAGGCCTGCGATTGATAGAAACAACAAGTAACAAAAGGTGTGTTCTGCTTCACCATGGCAGTCAATTTACCAGTTGTTACTATAGTATAAGTCTTCACTTTGTGAAGAAAGGCTAACTCCCACTAACCTTAAGGTCATGTTTCACATAGACTTGCTACACTTCGACCTCTAAGCAAGCGGAGCGATCCTTTTTTGGGCGCAAAGCGGCCGACCGCGAGCGACGAAGTCGCGAGAGGTCCCGCGCCATATAAAATCCGACGAAGGATTTTTTTGAAAGTCTAGTTCCACATAGACTTGCTACAAGTCGACCTCGCACACAGCAATTATAAGTCTCGTTTAGCCGGTCAAACCGGATGTTTCCCTTGGCGCGTTCAGTCAATAATAAAAGGTTTTCTATTTCGGAAAGGTAATAGCCAATCAGAAAATACCTACCGTAATATTCGCAAAAGTAGGTGACGTCACCGGACGGCATTATAACGCTCGGAATTCAGACTTCTCTATTCCCCGCGCCCCCCACGGGTTAGGGGTGGAGACGTATAACATTTCAGACTACTAGTCAATTTACAGCACCAAAACCATGAAAACCATTGATAAATTGCTAGAAAGATCAGTATGGTAAAATTATTGTTTTAAAGGTAACTGTTATAAGAATTAAACCATTCGTTAGAGCTGCAACCCCGGACAAAACCTGTTAAGACAAGTCGCGAAAATAACTATTTTTATCCTGTCATCCTGGCAAAAACTGAAACCTCCGCCAAATGAATGACCGATCTTCCCCCTCCCCTTATCCAAAGCTGTTTAGGATAGCACGGCAATTATACACGTTGGTTTTTAGACCAAGACAACTTTGAATACGGGGTGGGGAGGGGGCTTACTTTTTCTGTTTTGAGGAGACGGGAGTAGGGCGCAAAAGTTAGAAAATAGATGGAATTGTCTCAACAGTTTTGTCCGGGGTTGTAGTTATCAGCTTACTTTGCTTCTTCTTCCTCCACGAACTTTTTAATTGTAGAAAGGCTAAGTGAGCGATCCAGCTTGGCCAGGGAGAAGAATTTTGTGTCTCCATACAAAGAGACTGGCTCCTAGCATGGAAATTTCAACAAGAAACAAGTTTAAACATGTAACTGTTGCTGTTATTGGAATTTTAATTGTTAACGGTCAAGAACACCTTTGTGAGCTAACTTGTGCTGGGTGAAGAGATCTTTGAAACCATACCAGATAAGCACGATTCAGTAAAGGAGGCCGGGAAAAAACAGAAACTAAGGCAAATATTGTTACGGAAATTTCTTGATTTAAGGAGCTTTTTTTTGGTTTTAACATTTTATTGTAACATAGGAATTTTAAACGGAAACTTAGGTAATTTTTCCCCTCTTTTTTAAGTAGATATATATTTCTTAAAAACCTTTCTTGTATCTCTGTATCTCTGAACAGCCCCACAGTGGAGTGAACAATAAACGTTTTACTATTTATAGACTGTTCTACATGTACCCTTCGTTATTATTGTAACTGGCACATTGAAAGACAATGGTATAATATTATTTCATTTACATGTAGCTTAAGAAAGCCACATATTGTGAGAAAGCAAAGTAAAAAAAGTAACAGCTTCAAATGAAAATAGTTTTAAATGACAGTATTCACCAGCTGTCCTGCTTTGACGACCAATTCAATTTATTATTCTGCTCGTTAAAATGTTTTTGGGCTAGTTGAAATGACATTTGGGCTAGTAAGATATAATTTATTCTAGCTTCAGCTTGCCCAAATGGCAAGCTTTAAAAATGCCTTTCTTTGCACCCTGGTCGATTTGCTATTATACCAGCGATATAACTAATATTATTTCCAAGACTGAAACTTTGGCAGCCATGTTCAATCTACCTAGTAGATGAAGAGCATACCTGCCAACTCTCACGCCTTGGGCGTGAGTCTCACGCCTGCGGGTTGAAAACTTCGATCTCACGCCGGCTCACGCTTGCGGGCCAATTTCTCACACCTGATTGAAAAATGTGAGTTGATGCCGTCTTGCTTGACACAATTTCCAAAAATATGTTAACTCAGACCGATATAAGGAACAAAAACCATGTGTAAAATGAATAAATGACAATACCTTCCTCGCGATCTCTGATTTTGTGGCTAACCGTTTTCTCGATAACTTCGCCTTCGGCAGACTTCGGATGTCTCCGGAAGACTTCAGACTTCTTTGGAAGACTTCGGACTTCTTCGGGAATCTTCGGAAATGATCATGTCGTCTTCAAAAATCCCAGCACTCCCAGGATAAAAATGTCACGCTTATATCTCAGAAAAAGTTGGCAGGTATAGAAGAGTGCTCTATCTTTTGCACTGTACAGTGTACATGCCCATTAATCAAAATTTCTAAAGACATTAATTAAACAAAAAAAAGAAGAGGAGAGAATATAATAATAGTGTTTTAGAGCATAGGAGAAAAAAAACCTGCCACCCTGCACTGTTATGTACAGGGCATGACAATAGCGCATCAATCTGTCAGGCTGGCATGTTTTAGTTACAAGGCATCTGACAGGCAAGCACATTTAGTGGAGAAAAACTAATCCTGCAAAAAGAAGTTTGGTAGGCCTGCACAACTGCTCTGGGCTAGTAAACTTCGGCAACAGCTTGCTCGAGGGAGGAGAGATTTTTTTAAATTTTTATCTCAGCCAACATTACCTGTTTGTCATGGTTCTCATGGCACTCTCTCACCCAGTCATAAAATGCTCTTGAAATGTTCACTCTTTGCTCCTGGAGGGATAAAAAACAAAAAGAGATATTACAGTGCAATTACTTGAACCAGGGCTCTTGGATGAAAGTAATCCATTCACTATGTTTATGAAAAAAAAAACTGCAGCGATTCTGAGGTTTTTGGTAAACTGTCCACTGACATGAAAGTATTTGAACAGTAATACAGAGGAAAGCTTCTTTCAAACCTTGTTGATACAGACATACTCTACTTCACTGAAATTTCATTGACACCCGGTAGTTTCGAAAACGAAGCACTCGAAAACGAAGACCGAAGCACGAAGCACCCAAAACTCGAAAACGAAGCACCCAAAACTCGAAAACGAAGCACCCAAAACTCGAAAACGAAGCACCCTAGATCGAAAACGAAGCACCCTAAATCTCGAAAACGAAGCACCCTAAATCTCGAAAACGAAGCACCCTATCTCGAAAACGAAGCACCCTATCTCGAAAACGAAGACCCCAAAATCTCGAAAACGAAGCACTCAAATCTCGAAAACGAAGTACCCAAAACTCGAAACCACTGTAGGCTGTACGTCTTGCATGACGCAATCCGAATCAGGTGGAGGCAGCGGATGCGTCCGCACCTCCAAAGGTCCACAAAATCCACCCCAAGGTTTTATAAGAGCCTGCCAACTGTTTAACTGAACGTTTCTAGATGGGATATAGTGTATTAATTTTATTATTGGTCTCGCTATACTTGATACATCTTACCTTAATATGCGTTTTTTCGGTACACATGCATGTTTATGTAGACTTGAAAAACTGTCCGTCAGCAGATTTTGGCGTATTCAAGTACGCGTGAGCAGTAACACAAAAGGTCTGAAACGAGGCTGGAAACGGAGTGTGAGGCTCGCGCGTATTACTCTTACGCCACGCTTTACCGACTTCTTTACTGATTTTGAGAAAAAAACCGACTGTTTTGCAGTCTACCATATCGGATATTTTTGACACTGCGTGATCAGATCAGATCAGATCCAGGCAGAATTTTTTCTAGGGTAATAGCCTGGGATCAGGCTCTATGGTGGGGAACAGGAGAATTTTGAAATAAAAGGAGCGAATAAAAAAAGGAGAGTTAAGCTACTGAGAAGGAGGTCGGTGGGGCGAAGCCTGAAGATATGCTTTTTATGCCACCGATCCACCCTTAACTACACTAATTTGCAAATGGCCTTTAACGAGGAATGGAATAGAAAACGCTCATCATTTTGTACGGGGATACTTGCAATACAGTAATACGGCAATACAGTAATATTCTAGAAATAGTTTGGGCGTTCTCAGTTTTCTGATCACGTCCAAAACATAGCCTCCCACCGGGCCTCCCACGCAGCGGCGGAAATGCATTTACAACTTGAGCAGATTTCAACTGCATTCGATTCGTTATCCAATACTCGTTATCGCGCTTGATTTCTGCTGTATTTACAGTGGTCTCGTGTTTATAAAGGACAGACCGGTGTCGAGTTTTTGGGTGCTTCGTTTTCGAGTTTTGGGTGCTTCGTTTTCGAGTTTTGGGTGCTTCGTTTTCGATCTAGGGTGCTTCGTTTTCGAGTTTTGGGTGCTTCGTTTTCGAGATTTAGGGTGCTTCGTTTTCGAGATTTAGGGTGCTTCGTTTTCGATCTAGGGTGCTTCGTTTTCGAGATTTGGGTGCTTCGTTTTCGAGTTTTGGGTGCTTCGCGCTTCGGTCTTCGTTTTCGAGTGCTTCGTTTTCGAAACTACCATTGACACCCCTTATTATTTGGGCATAGCCCAAATAGAATTTTCAGGATCACTTGTTTTGATTTAAAGTTGCAAAAGGCATGCAATACATTTGAATGTAAACAAGCCAATTCTCACAAATATGTGCCATGTGAAAGACTCATACAAGGTAAAAAGCATGCCGGAAAGAAAAATCTGCTAGCAGGGTCCTTATCCCACTTATGTTTCTAAATACTACTAGGCCTTTGAATAAATATTCAACATCCAAACAGACCTCACCCTCAATTATCGGCGTATGGTAGCGCTGGAAACATTGACGTACTGTCAACTGAAGGATTTTTTACCTTCAAAAAGGAAAGGTCTATTACAGCACACAGTTGATAATAAGTGTCCGCATTAGAGAGGTTGGCTTTTTATGAATATTCGTTGATAGGGCAAGAAATAAGTGTCTGTCTGCATTAACATGTGTCCGTATTAAGTGATTTGAAATTAGAGAAATTATAGTAAGGGCTTTCCCAAGGGACATAGAAAACTGTCCGTAATAACGAGGTGTCTGTTCTATTTAATGGGTTACCGTAAAGTGGGGTTCAACTGTACAAAATTAATAAAGGAATTATATACAGTACATAAAACCTTTGACATCTCAACTTGGCCTTATATCATTATATACACCCACCTGTCCTAAAATGATTCTGCTAAAAATGGTATTCTTATCTTTGATCTTTACTTCCAGATCCATAAATGTCAGCTTGTTTGTACTGACTTGAAAAGCGTCATTTATCCAAAGACAACCTGAAAATCTACACAATTTTAAAGCGAAGTAATTTAGTGGCAGCTGAAGCAAAATGCAAGGGAATATCACTGTATCAAACATTTGAATAAAATACCTAATTATTATGATGAGAAATCAAATGAAGACACCACCACATAATTATGTGTACAGACTGTACACTGTAATACAGCACTATCCAGGCACAAAAATACAAACATACAGTGCTCAGTGTAATATAGAATTTTCTTTGAATTACTACATCATTATTATTTCTTAAAAGATAAAAGGGCCAGTCCTTAAAGGTCAGCACTACCAAAGAGGTATCATTGTTGAGACTAGAATACAAGGTTTTAGCCAGAAGGGTGCCAGCCATCCTATGGACATCTATTTTTTGAAAAAAAAAACAAAAAAAAAAACAGGAAAATTCACTTAATCTCTAATAATTTTTATGGGAAAACATGCCTTCAGGATTGCCAGTTTAGAATGTCTGGCTAAAAGCCCGCTGCCATGCTCTACAGGCTGAAGATTTATGGCCTGTGTGCTTCTTGCTGAGGTCATACAGTGCACATATGACAGAAAAAGTGGCAGCTATGTAAGTTTTAACAAGGGCCTCAAACTAAAGTTACATGTACTAATGAGCAAATGCTTTATTATTACCCGGTAGATACCTGTTGTAACACTCCATTGGAATAGTAAGTTATCTTCTTTGGGGGCTGACACCATTCAAGTCTGACACAAAAGAACAATAAGGGGATCAGCATGATTTTATAATTCCCAGTTTTTACAAGCACTGTAACTTTCAAACTTACACATCAATATAAGTGTATGGAATTAGCCTTCCATTCCAGTGGCATTCAAATACAGGTCGGTTTCCTCTAGGAGCACGACTATCCTTTTCAAACTCTTCTACAGTTTCAAAAACTGAAAAATAATAATCAATGTTTTATGAGAACATTGCATCCATTGTAACTTTACAATTTTGAAGCTTAAAATCACATACATTTTCAGGTGGCCAATACCTAGGGACATGCCTCACTGTACTATGAATGACAGAGACAATGTATGAGAAAGCCAACCACATTATAAACATTCATGTTAAGCATACATTTGATGGATTTCTAATCTCTAAAAAAATATACGATTTTTCTAGAAATTGTGTTGATTTCCAGCAATTCCAAAGTAATGTTATGAAGAGAACGATTGAATGAATGACTTTATTTATACACGGTTAAAAACAACAGTCTAACATAGAAAATTAATTAAAAATTCTCAAAAATTGTTTTACATATTTGCAGTGTGGGAGTATTGATCAGAAAACCATCTATGGGAACTTCTCTTAAAGAGACCTAAGGAATTTGATGTGCGTAATTCGTCAGGAAGATTGTTCAGTAGAAGAGCACCACTGTAACTAAAGCTACGATTCAGGTATGATGCAGTTCTTGGTTTTGGGAGCAATAATTCCCAGAGTAATCAATCGATAAAAATCATTAGCAATAAAAATCGGTAGCAATCACGTGATTTTTAGCGATTGATAAAGGAAATCGGTGAAAATCTATAAACTGAATTGCTGTGTCAAATCGATATTATCGATTTTTCATAGTCTTCACGATTTGTAACTGAAATCTGCCATTGTGTTTTTTTGGCACGAGTTAGATAGTACAGCTAAAAAAACTCATCCACGAGTAACAACTGATCAGCAAACATAATGTGGAAACTATTACACACACAACTTTCTCTCTAAAACCCTTTATTTTGTACATAATAACAAAAATGGTTCGGTTTTTAATCAGTTCTAGCAGGCAAGTATCACGAGAAATACATCCTTAGGTAATAAAGATTTCCCAGCCTTAATTTCAGACAGTCCTTCGAGTGGGGATTCAGGCGAAAAGATTTTCCTCAATCAATTGTCACTGTTTTCCGATATCAGTCGATAAAAATCACTCGATTGCTAACGATTTTTATCGATTTCGATTTTTATCGATTGATTACTCCGGGTCCTCTGGGATGTAACTACATGCTGATCTACACCAACGTTATATTTAAAGGGTGGTAGATTCAAAGCCTGAAAAACTGGGGGCCTACAGACCAGGCCAATATCAGCCATCAGAAGAAGATTTTAATCCTGATTTCAAGAAAAGATAAGATGTTTTCAAATATTTGTTTATAAGTGATCTTTGATAAACAATATAATGTGATTATCATAAATGTTTGATACTGTGACTCTCAATTGCCACCCATTGTCAATAAATTTATTGTTTGTATGAATTCAGTTTTAACATTTTGATGAACAGATGTTTCTTCCGATATGAATCGATGAAATCGGTAGAAATCAAGATAAATCGATAAACCAAACGAGTGTGTCATCTATTTCTACCGATTGACCGATATACTCAATATCAATCAAAATAATCAGATTAACCGATTTTCATCGATTTATCGATTGACAAATCAATACCGATTTTTATCGATTGACTACTCCAGGATTAACTTTTCCTTCGCGTAGCAAAAATATTAATTCGGTGTTCTTGGGGCAAACAAATTACAGAGATAAGCTGGGGTGAGATTATTAATGCACTTGTACATTAAATTGGCCATTTGCATGATAACATCATTTTACTACTATGACCAGAATCCTTCACGGTTTTGCTTTCTTGTGCTAATTAGGGCTTTTGTTATTCAAACCTCACTGGGATTACAAAATTTAAATGTGAATGGAAAAACAAACATGATTCTGGTCGTAGTAGTAAGATGACGCCATCGTGCAAATGGCCTATTTAGCCTTTTGTTTAGCCCTTCTAACCGATAAATTGTCCTAACCAAGCGAGTTAAGAAGATATCTGGAACTTGTATCATAGCTAGATTTGGTGATAACTCTGATAGCACGATTTTGAAGTTTTTGAAGTTTCTCACTAAGCTGTTGGGTCAAGCCATCCCGTACAGCGCTGCAATAATTGAAGTGTGTCTCGATAAGACCTTTGTATATTTTAATTGCAGTGTGCATTGAAACAAATGGCCTGATCTGCTCAAGAGCACCGATACCAGAGGATATGTTTAAAGAGATTTCATGACTGTGGACCTTCCATGAGAGATTTTCATCAATGATAAGCCAGAGAGATTTGCCTTGATTGCTTTGATTTGTTGGGACGCCGTCTATATGAATGTTCATTGTGTAGCCAGTTAAGGACCGTAGTTTCTGCCTCGAGCTAATAGCCATAAACTCTGTTTTGGCGACCTTTAGACTTAACTTATTAGCTTTGAGGCAGCGTAAGCTTGCCCATCAAGGTAAACTGACAGATACAACTTTATCGCTTTCTTTTAAAGCGATAAGCAATATTTTGTAGTTTACTTAGGTTACTTTGTATGTAGTTTACTGTGTTCTAATTCGAGACCACACAATAAAATTCAATGAATACTATCGCCTAACCACAAACGGCATCATTCTTTACTTTATAATCTTTTTCCGTGAAATAAAGTTTTCCGGATGGGTTTGGGGTCTCTGTCTTTCTTTGTGGAAATTCTGGAGGGAAGAGGGGAGGGGGGGGGGGCAGTATCAGTTCCTCACAAAATTAATATGGAAAATCCAGGGAGGTGGGGGGGTCCTCAGTGAAATTCTGTCTGGGGTGGGGTATGGATATTTTCTGGAACCACACAATACTAACCCAGCAGAACGAAGGAATATAATTATAACAACTGACTCTGCTATAGGCAATACAGTCGAACCTCGATTATCCGGACCTCAATTATCCGGACTTTTCTCTGGTACCAATTTGGTCACGAATATTTATTAGTCACGATCAAGATCCGTAGCCATATCCTTTTTAAAACCACAGCATCGAAAAGTGCAGCTAAAAGTAAGGTTTTTTTGTCTTCAAACAGCAAAAACAGCGCACGGACGTGTTGTAACTAATGAAGAACATTCAAATGAGTTGTGATTGGCTCAGAGTTGCTTTGAGGCTAAGTGAAATTTCACGCTCTACAACATTTTATTGGCTTGCTCGACGTCACGAACGTTTGTTCATGATCATTATGTCTTTGAAGTGCAAGCGACCAGTTTTTTCGATAAAAGATAAACAGTCTATAATTGTGCGATTTTTAGAGAAAGGAGAAAAAGGAACCAATTTGTCAGCTGAATATGGTGTTAGTAAGCAGCAGATCGATCTCTGATATCTGCAAGAACAAGGAAACGAGCATGAAGTTTGCTGACATCTTAGAGACCAGCAAAAGAGTAAAGCGAAAATTGCTGAAAGTTGCACGTGATGAACAGCTCGATAAAGCCCTGTATGTCTGGTTTATTCAACAACGAACATCTGGCACTCCAATTTCTGGTCTCCCAAACGATTTGTAATAGTGTTGTTTCACAATTAAATGTTGTTTTCTTAATCAATCAGTTTTGTTCTTCACTAATATTCATATATTCCATTATCCGGACCCTCGATTATCCGGACTATTTTGTCTGGTCCCAACGATTCCGGATAATCGAGGTTCGACTGTACACACATCCAGATTGCGAGAAGTGAAAAAGGTGTTTAGAAAATGCCATTAAACGTCACACATGAATCAGTGATGTCAGTGAAGACATCTACATTTGAAAGCTGGAAAAAGACAAACAAATATCTCCCAATTTAAATATTCTTTAAATACAATCCTAACATGGGGGGATTTGCAAGAAGTGGGTGGCGAAATTACCAGGAACAAATGTGTTCACTACAGGTTCCAAGAATTTGAAATCATCAGCCATTGCTGAACATGTACGAAGCAAACTTATTTCTCATTGACAGCCAAGAAAAAAATAAGCGTTGATAATAATAGCCTAAAGATTCAGACTAAAAGCTGTGATTTTATTTTGAACCCTGATTAACAGTCGCACTACCAGATGCACCCGACTGAGCTGCAATGTTGCCAATATTTTGCATTGGCTGCTGTGGCAAAGTCGAAGCATAGCCTGCTGTAGCTCAGCCGACAAAACAGCAGCAGGCTGTGCTGGAGCAGAAACCTGCCTGACCCGTATTTAATTAACACTTTTGCAAACTGACGACTTGCATACATTACTCAGAATTATATAATGCTTAATTCCTCATTGCATGGGATAATGAATATTAGTAAAATCTAACTAGTGGTCCATTATCAACGCTGCGTTCTGATTGGTTGAGCTACTACTAGGCTATATGTTATAGCCTACTAGTAGCGAAAAGCGTGGGCTTTTTGGTGGCAAAAAAGGGTTAAAATCTAGCTTTAACTAGCGAATTTTTTTTTATTCTCGATATTTTTGACCAGGTTTTTATGCACGTATCAATGGTTTGCCCCAGGATGGGGGGGCCGGGCAACCCACAGGAATTAGACTTCGTAAAGCGCACGTGGGTGGGGATTTGACATCCACAACAGTCCCCAGGGTGGGAAATTTGACTCGACCGCCATCTTGAAAAGTGGAGAGGACCTGGGAATGATTGAGTGGTCCGCCATCTTGGAAAATACCCAGAAGTCATTTGAGCGAGTTTCCTGCGTCCAAGAAGGTAAGGAGTATCATGTTGCTTTTTTAAAGCAAAAATGTTGTTTTTTATGCCCATCAGTGCTCTGTCTTTAAAGTTCTAATAAAATAAGGTATTTTTCCTTCAGCTTTGAGAAGAAATATTCGTACAAGAGCTCATTTAGATCAAAATTTACTTCCTACTTACCTGTCTTCAGAGG